GTTCAAATTTCAGTGGAGTACACTTTTGCCAATATGGGAACTTTGAGGCAATATATAATAATTTACATTTGCCCTACGGCAGCAATATTTTATGTAACTAATGAACAGACTATATCCTTAAAACGGGTCAAGTTTGAAAACGCTGCTTGCATTACTTTCGGAGAAAAAAAAAGGGGGGAATATGTAACTTATTTTAAACTGTCGCAAAATTAGACATGTTTAAAAGCTATTTTCTTTAAGGTCTGCAAACATGAAACCGTATGAATTTATTCTTCATTAGACATACATTTCAGGTAAAAAGTATCTTCCTTGAAAAAAAAAATATATTTGTCTTTTTATAGCATCTGCAATTTTCGAAAATGACAGGTGACGAAATTGGTGCCTTCGAGTTGGTGAAGTTTGATACTTTTTTCGCGTAAGTTATGCCGTTAATCATAAAACGAAGTTGACTTTCAAGCTACCTGGTGAGAAGTGCACGAAATATAAAACACTTAATGAAATCTAAAATATCAACTTTTGGACCCGTGTCGATTTCTCGTGGATCATCCCAGTACAAGTGCAAATTGACGAAGAGCGCGAAATTCAGGTTATAGTTTGCGTCTTACGTGCCCAATTCCTCCGATGTGTTTTCCTAAACTTCTTCGTCCCAGTAACTGTGGCACAGTATTTAAATAACTAATACCGTGACTAAGCCGTAATATCTTCCCGCGACAAAGCGTTAGACAGCATGCTTGAAGAACAACGCATCACTCAAATCTGGAACGAAATCGTGGCTGAAGCTTTACAGGAGAAAAATTGGCAGATCCCGCGCACTATAAAAATCGACAGGATGCCAAGCTTGCGCAGGGAAGTTGACTTCGGGTAGGTGTGACCAGAAGCTGTACCGCTGAAATGAAGGTCTTGTGCTTCCGACGATGGTATAATAGCCCGGGTTAGTGCTCCGTAGACTAACTTCAGTGGGCGGCGCTTAATTACAATAACACTTACACGACGTCAAGCCTGTATCATCATAGAATTACATATGTAATGTATATAAAATAAATGGGCAGCATTGAACCCAAAACTCACGTATAAGCAGCCTTACGCACGCATATAAAATATTTTTCAAACGTTGTTCTGCGACCTGGCTCTGCTGTGTGGTAAGATTGTCGATTACTATGCGCAGAACGCTTGGGCTCGATACCTGCTGGGACCTTAACATTTATTATTTGCGTACACCCGGTCAACGCCGCGTAGGTTTTGCATTTTTTTCTTGACGCTCTCGCGTTTAAATTGCCAATATACGTTCTTTCCGTTCATGGATAGATATCAACTGCCAAACACCTGTGGCTCTTACCCGTACGGCAGCCTATGGAATACAGCTACGTGCCACACGCGTCTGGCTGAAAGGGTGCGGCGTCGTACGCGATGCGACTTTCTCATTATTTATGTCTTCTTCACACTGTAATATTCACCGTAGCGTCTTACCCTGCCATACAAATTTTGGTTTACTCCAAGTGTAGGAGTCATCATGAGAGCACCCAGACGCAGACGGATAGATAGATAGATAGAAGGATAGATAGATAGATAGATAAATGAATAGATACTTTAGGTGTTTCCAGTACGCAGAGAAATGATTCGCATAAAAACTTCATTAGGCAGGGTTCGGTGGCCAAGTTAGTCCGTAAACACTGGTTGCCTAAATACCCATCTGGCTGTTTGACGGATCAAGAAAAGGTCTTCGTTCCGTCAAAAACCCATTGAAATGGTATTTCTTTTGAACAGGTTTTAAGTTTGTGGGCGTTTTTTGAGCGCTTTTGCTCGCAGTAACATGAAAAGTAACATGAAGCCACGCAGTCCCATCTCACGGTACTGGCAGTAGCGGTAGGTGTGCCCGGCTTCGCCGCAGTGGTAGCATAGTGGGCGGTGGTTCGGGGTGCGCCAAACGTCAGTTTTCCTCGGCGAGCGCTGGATTACTGGCGAGCGGGAAGGCGTCGGGGGTGGCGGCGGTGGCTGGCGACGAAACTGCGGAGACGTTGGGTCCTGGTGTTGGCGAGGAGCGGCGACAGGTCGTCGTGCAGTAGCGGCGTAGGTCATCGCCTCCGGTTGGGGCTGTGGCCGTTCAGGAACGCTCAGTGAGCGCTGTAGTTCCTCGCGGACTACGTCTTCGAGAGAGGCGACTTGGGGCTGAGACGATGGCAACATGCGGCGCAGTTCTTCACGAACAATAGCGCGTATGGTCTCGCGCAGGTCGTCGGGGCAGAGTCCTCGGACTTCTGCGACGTCTGGCGACATGCGCCGATCGTATTGGCCATGGTCCGCATTTCAAGAGTCTTCTCGATGGTGGTAGCCTCGGAGAGGAACTCTTGTACCGTCTTTGGCGGGTTTCTGATCAGTCCGGCGAAGAGCTCCTGCTTCACTCCTCGCATAAGCAGGCGAACCTTCTTGTCCTCAGACATGTCGGCGTCGGCGTGGCGGAAAAGTCGCGTCATCTCCTCCGTGAAGATCGTTACGTTTTCGTTGGGGAGCTGCACCCGAGTTTCAAGCAGTGATGCGGCTCTTTCCTTCCGCACGACGCTTGCAAAGGTGCGCAGGAAAGCAACGCGGAAGTCGTCCCAGGTTCGAAGCGTTGACTCGCGGTTCTCGAACCAAGTCCTTGCGGCGTCTTCCAGGTAAAAATACACATGACGCAGCTTGTCGTCCGGGTCCCACTTATTGAGGGCTGCGACGCGGTCGTAAATGTCAAGCCAGCTTTCCGGGTCTTCGTAGGTCGATCCGCGGAAGGTAGGCGGCTCTTTGGGCTGGTTGACGACCACGGTTGCCGAAGACCTTGCTTCCGTCATCGTGGATGCCGGCTTCGTAGCAGCGTTTGTTTTCTTGTCCTTGTCGGGGAGCGGCAGGTATTCGGGCGGTAGTCCTTGTTGTCTTCGGCTCACTCGAACGACCGGGTCGGCGTCGTCCTCTTGGCGGCTTGGGCTTGGCTCACGGCTGGACGGGGGCGTACGGTACATGGACAGAGAAGCACCTCCACCAGATGTCACGAGGTTGTGATACACGCAGCACTTGAGAGGAAGCACGCAGGAGTCAGGGCGGTGTCAGGCGAACTGTTTGTTGGGCGAACTTGTGCCCAGCAAAACAGGGCCAAACACAACTCACAGCAACAGCGGCGTGAACAGTCGTCGGCCGACGGAAAAAAAAAAAAAGACCCCCAGTGGCGCACTGCGCCGGCTTTTTATACACGCGTCGTAACGCGTTCCAGAGTGGCATACAAGATAAACGCGGCCTGCGTTGCGCGCGTGTCAGTCCTTTATACACGCGTCATAACGCGTTCCAGAGTGGCATACAAGATAAACGCGGCCTGCGTTGCGCTTGACAGAAAGTGATAGCGGCTTCCTTCGTAAACCAAAAGAACCGCACGTTTCAGTCTTTTATACACGCGTCATAACGCGTTCCAGAGTGGCATACAAGATAAACGCGGCCTGCGTTGCGCTTAACAGAAAGTGATAGCGGCTTTCTTCGTAAACCAAAAGAACCGCACGTGTCAATATAGACAACAGACCAAGGAGACAGGGCGCCCCATCGCCTTTGTCTGTGCTTGTCTGATATTCGCAAAGAGCTTTAGAGCTTTGTTACGCCAACTCTAGTCAAACAAGAAGTTAAACTGCAAGACGGAGTACACTGAAGTTTTGTTTTCCTTATCGCTCATGCACATTCGAGAAGCTTGTCACTGAAGTCAACTTTGAACAGTACAGAGAGATATAAAGAGACGTGTACGTATAATGTTATTGTTAAATATTGACGTATACGATGATTTAGTTTCCGTTTAATTGATGGTTTAACAATATTTGAAGCTGCGATCATAGTATGTGAGAAAAAAAGAATGCTACGTAAAAGCTCATTCATTCGGTACTCCCGGGTCCGTAAAAAATGTCCGTATTAACCGAGTTCTGAAGAACACCAACAATTGTTTATTGCGTCAATGCAAGTTCATTTTCTTTATGAATACGCACCTATGGTTCTTATTTTTATAGGAGCAGCCTAAGTACCACAATTTGCGTCATTTTCAGACTTATTTCAGAGAACGATTGCGGCACATAATCACTAGCGTAATCACTAGCGTAATCACTGAGTCACCTCTAGTTGCCAACACCACCACGTGCACTTAACTAAACTTTATTTCGCCGGTACACGAAAGAAGTTTGCCGTGCCGTTAGAGCTTTGGTAGACAACAACGTGGTTATTGTAGATGGCGGCCACGCCTTTTCTAATACTTACAGCAAAGAGGCTTCACAAGCGCGGGAAAACGCTAAATTGCATGCTGCGTGCTGGCTTTCTGGTGGTTCGTTCGGTTCACAGTGATGACGTTGGCGGGGCGGACGGTGCTGCATCGTTTCGGTTGTCCGAGAGCGTCATTGATGCTCTTTTGCGCCGCACGTAAGCGGAACTTGACGCTCGGTGCGCTTCATCTGAATTAACTGGATTGTGGCCAATTATGGGCGAATTGATGAGATTTTGGTTGCAATAAACAATATAAGTGCTGGCTGGGACCGGGGAACACGTTCGAATAATCAGGTTTTCCGCACCAACAACGGTTGAATCATTGAGCTTTTACTGCCTTCGCTTTCTTTATTCAGGACATTATTCCGCATTTTCACTGTTGTCGAGAGGGAAAAGTATTGTTTATGAAATGGTAGCATTTAATTTCAGCTTAGAATGTTACTTTTCGAGCTAGGCAGAGAAGTATCCGGAGAAGATAAAGTATAGGATTCTGGTACGACATGAACCACAGAAAAAGAAAGCGAGACAAAAAAAAGAGAAAAAGATTGATCTGTAGCCGTACCTAAGTCCAGAATGCAGAAAAGCCATTATAAAAAGCACCGTCAGTAATCGCGATACGAAAAAAGTTTTGCGTCAACTTCGAAATATATATGCAGTTTAATCACTCGAAAGCACAAAGAAAGCCTCAGTGAGCGTACTTCACCCCAGTAAAGACTCACGCGAGCGGTGCGGAGGGCAGGTACCTTGAACACGTCGGAACAACCCTGGCCTGTGCCACGTTGACTGAAAGCTGCACGCCGGCAGCGAGGTTGGTGACGCGTCCGTTGATTTCACTGTCAAGCTGCAGGGCCTTCGTGGGCCGGTGCTTTCACAGCTCTGCACAAGCAGCTTGTCAATGCGCAGGTCTCCCGACAGGGTGAGCAGGCTGCCGCTGAGCGACGCGCCCAAGTATCCGCGCCGTTGCAGCGACCGCAACCCGAGCACTCGCACGTCGTGCGCGCAGTAGCCAGGGAAGCGCCGGTTCTGTCCCTACCCGTGGCAAGTTATCGTTTCATTCACTTTTCTCTCCTCACATTTACATTACAAGTAATTCACGTAATATTCCTTACACTTTTCTTGACATGACTTTCTGTTAAATCTCAGTATTTTTGTGTCTAACAGAGAAAACGAGCTCTCAAATGTACTCTTCTTTGATTGATACCGTACATAGAGCATTCATACCGTGCATCGGCTTCAAAAATATACCGTTTTCTGTCCGTCCGTCAGTCTGTGTGGTCGTTCGTCTGAAGCCCCTATAATTAGAGGGGCTTTACGTCCGTCCGTATGTCTGTGCGTTCATCCGTCCATACGTCCGTCCGTCCATGCGTTCGTGCCTCTGTTTGTCCGTCCATCACTTTGTAAATATTAAGGTGTAGTCGGCGATGGCCTGTGCCCATTGAGACGGGGTCGGTCAGATTAGAACGCGATGCGCGCGTCTGATTGGCGACGCTGAGCACAGCGACGCTACGCGAAAAAAGCGCGAGTGCTGTTAAATGCGACGCGAGGCACCACCAACGCGACCAGCGTCTTTTGGCACAACCTGGCGGCCACCTGGAACCATCGTACTAACTTAATAAACAATTCATAATCCTACAAGGAGCTTCGATCCCCATAATGAGAATTCTGTTCATGAATCAGCTCTTGATGTTGTGTAAAATTACAAGGCTTAGCTTTTATTTTTATGAAGCGTGTCTAGGCGACGAACTGAACGAAAAAATACATAGTGACACTTGATCGTTCATACTTGTGTTCCTAAACACTTTTTTCTATGAGAACGTATAAGTACATAAGTACAGTATTGCGAATGCTATGTTCAAGAAGTTAGAACAACAATGAACTATACTTTCATCTGTTTATTTTGAAAGGAAACACATGATCGCAGGCCTTACCGTGTCCTGTGATTTAACGGGCCGAGTTCTGAAACACCCATGTAACTGAAAGGAATGTTCACACAAGCGATGCTCTTGCTAGTTCGTGTTAGGATGCTGCCCAGCAAAGATATACCAGGTGCACTACTGGAACAGAATTATGAGGAAGGTATAGCAGTTTTGTGTTCCTCTCACTTAGAGTTGAATTCACATGCCCATGTAAGTCAGTGTTCCCCCTGTTTTATCACTAGCACTTCAAGTGGCGAGCATGTATGTAACATGTATATGAGCTAAGAACGCAAGTCTCAACTGTAGTATTTATTTAAAATAGTACTGCTATTGTCTAGCTGGCAAAAACTGGTTGTTAGCAAAAAACGTCGCGGATTCTTCCGATGGTCTTCTAATCCTCTCTGGCACCGAGAGTCTTCTCGTTTCGTGCAGTAAACGAGATTGGCCAAAACTGTGTCGGTAGTTCGATGGAAGAAGAAGGGGTGTGAGACAGTGGTATATAACCATCATCTTACGCGCCTACAGAGATCGAGAAATCTTGGCACATTTTATGTCGCAGGGTTCCATTGGGTGCAAACTCATACCTCCCCTCCAAGAATCGTTCATCTAAAGAAGAAGATGAACAGAATGATGTAAAACAAAATTAGTAGTTGCGGCCTAAGGCGACGTCATACATGAAAGACGAGCACACCACAAGGATTTGCGTGCAATGCCTTGAGGCAGCGCACATATCCGCAAAGTTCACTTTTCAGTTCATGTGGAGAAAGGCTGTCGGCAGGCTCGATCCGTGTGAAAGTGGTAGCATTTCGATGAAGGATTAATGCTAGAGCTCGTGTAACGGCACAACGCCTGTGCACGTCCTATAACAAAACGCGGTAGAAATTTCCCGAGCCCTCCACTATAACGGCGTCCTTCATAATCATACAGTGGTTATGGGGCGTTAAACTCTAAGTATTATTTTTAGGTTGAAAGTCTCGTGTCTTTCATAAAACTGGAAGCTGGACTGTCAGCGGTGACATTACCGCAGCGTCGCTGAAAGTGCGATGCCAAAAAACATCAAGTGGTGACGCCATAATTACAGCACAGACAGCGAAAATATCGACGTGATGTTAAATAGCGTCACAAGGTGCCGTTCGTACGCCTTCCTTTAAGGGGAGAGCAAAACCAGTAAGGTGCTACACAACGCCCCGCCACGGTGGTCTAGTGGCTAAGGTACTCGGCTGCTGACCCGCAGGTCGCGGGTTCAAATCCCGGCTGCGGCGGCTGCATTTCCGATGGAGGCGGAAGTGTTGTAGGCCCGTGGGCTGAGATTTGGGTTCACGTCAAAGAACCCCAGGTGGTCGAAATTTCCGGCGCCCTCCACCTCGGCGTCTCTCATAATCATATGGTGGTTTTGGGACGTTAAACCGCACATATCAATCAATGCTATCCAAGAAAAGAAAACAAAGCCGGCGCTTGGTGCTTGCATGCGAAGCCATGGCTCGTGTTCCCTGCTCCCTTATCAACTGAGAAAAAATAAATAAAACGTCTGTCACCTTTGAGTCGTCTTACGTGAATGCACAAAAGGGCCAGCCAGTTTTCTTACATTCTTACCTGTCGAGAGGGGCAAAAATCCTCTCTGTGATATATCCCAGCAGATTCACAATATGGCCAGTAAGCCCAATACAGCTTACAAAAGCGTTGGCACCCTAACGTTGCTCAGGTTGGCCATTCGCCTAAACTTATCATGATGTCTAACGAGAAAATGCACCACCATTGGTGAGAGCGCTGCTCTTGAGATGCTGAACTGAGTCGTTGTTGGAGTGCCTTAGAACCCAATTGCGTTACGCCTGGGGGCATTCTCCTATTGGGGTACTTGAAGTGTCCCCCCGCCCCTCTCCTCTTACACACCTCAAGGCATCGGCAGAGACTTCTTCGCCGTCTAGTGTGGCTTCCACGCACTCTGCGTATTTGGCCAAGATATAAATGGTCCTATAGAATGCTACGGAACTGTAGAATAATGAAGGGCTGTCTGTCTCCTTCTTTCTCTTGTTCCTCGTTATTGGCGCGGTTTTTTATGTGAATCATGTCGTACAAACTTGCCCAAGCAACCACGTTAGAATAAAACCTTAAGAACCCTTTTATGAAATCTGGATATGTATAAAAACTAGTGCTTTTTTTAGTGACGGGTGCAATTGAATCAAAACCCTAATTTATAAAATAGAAAAGTTATGCCTGTGTCGACATAGAATGATAATTACATATATTAGCCAGTTAATCGATTTGTTGAGATAATTCCGAACAGCCACGCCAACCTTCGTATTGAAGAAACCAGAATTAGAGGCTCCGAAAGAAAAGAGCACAGGCGCAGATTGGTTCATTCCAATAGCACGCGAATGTATTTCTAACTGGGTTCTTCGAGCAGTAGTAAATTCTTCACAGGTCAAAAAGTTCCATAGATCGGCTTCAACTCGCCCCAGAATGCGTACACTGGAGGAAGCGCCTGACCTACAGACCTGTGTGGGTACAAATTGAGTTTCGGCACCAGACAACACAGCCTGTGTAACTGACACTTCTAGTTTATGTGTAACACAAAACGATCTCCACCGCTGATATATTAGTTACCAATGTTCAGCCGAATCGGCTGGTGCTGTCTCCAAAAGCCTTCCAAAACGTTGCCCCGCGAAATCGCGCAGGCGTACATAGGCGTTTTGTGAAAAAAAAAACACATGGTAAAATCGGTCTACTTATCGACGACTTTGCTAAGCCATCGGCTATTTCACATAAGAACAACTCTTTATGACCAAGAGCCTAATTAATCTAACTGCTATTTTCAAATGTGCGGGTTTTAATCCACGACACGCCTACATTACGTACATGTCAGCGCTAGCAGAAAGTGCAGCACAGACAGACGGAGAAGCTGCCATTATAGCGGCAGATCTTATTCCCGCGTTTACCTACGTAAGGAGAGCACCACTGCCCGAAATTAGGTGAAGAATAGAACTGTTTCAGGTTCATAAAACTCGTAACTAATATAGGCTGTAAAGCCGGACATAAAATCATGCAATTTCCAAAATTTTTGATTAGTTACTCACTTTTGAACTAAATTATTTGAGCAGTCGCTAATGTTAGAGAACTGGTATTGTATAACTTTTATGTGTCACCAGTAGCACTGCTTTCATTTGCTACAGAGTTTAAGTCACTAATATTGCGTCCCCAGGTACTGCTCGATTGGAACATTGCTCCATCGTGCCATTCATGCAGACAGATTAGGAAGCTATCTAATCAAGCTTTTGCTGGACTTGGAATTCTACGCAGGAAAATGCACCCAATAAAGATTGTTACTGCTCCGCGCAGGCGCTGAATAAAGCTTCAGTCCCTTTTTGTCTTTGGGCGACACAAGGGCCAAATACCGCTTCACATCATTGTTAGCTCGAAACGTTAGCCCGCAGCCGCAAATTTCTTGTGAAGCTTCTATTCGTATCGAAGTCAAACTTTCCGCTATTTTATCGCTGCGTGATAAAAAGGCTGCATATGTTCGGTAGTACTTCTTTCCAGTATTGCCTCCCGACTGAGTGACCATGCCGAAAGAGCCGGAAGACGATCGAAGACGACGCATCGTACGTCTGTGCTTGAAAGAATATTCGCAAAGTGTTGTATTCGCGATGATAAACCGTCCTATTGCAACTGTGAACTCAATTGTGTAAGGGGCGAGGTTTATTACTTGTACGATCACTTGTAGAAAAGGCACAGTCGTGTCGCTTGTCGAGAACTGCCCCGGCTTCTAAATTTGCATGTGCACATATGAAGAGTGATGCTTGCTTCACCGCAAAGCAGGCACAATTCAGTCGAGCCACAGAGAGCGCGGTGAAAAGGTCGCCTACATATGCATCATTGCGTTTGCGTGCTAGTTTCTCAAGCGTCCGGAAGAGGCTTCCGTGGGCGCCGACCACATGGTGCG